ATTCAAGATTAGAATTCACGAAGTACAATAGATTTCTATCACATTGACCCAAACTCACATCTACTTTTTCGGATGTAGATTTTCCGACTGCAAGCCAATGGCCTAAACCTGAGATGCAGCATCGTCAAGTTCATCGTGACGGCTCTAACCTTCTACACGTGATCCACTTTCATGCTATCGGGAACATGTTACTTCTATGATTATGATTCTTTCTATCATGCGTGATGCTTATAGTCACATGACTTGATAGTTATAATATTTTATTTGCAAAAGGATATATGTTCCTTTATGATTCTACTGAAACCATTGAATTTTTAAACCATATAAAATCTTTTAACTGGTTGTATACACTTGAATGTGAATGATTGAAGGTAAAAAAGAGTGAGATATAACACAAGAAAGTATAAAATAACCTGTCAATTGATAAAGAACACATGAATTAATGTATGAAAAAAAATATTTACAACTTTACACATGAAATAGAATTTATCCTTCATATCAAGAAATCCATTGCTATTCATTTCATGAATGATAGCAAAATAATATGTGTGTGACAAAGATAAATATCTTTTAACAACCCAATGATTAATAACTCATGTTGATCTATATTGCATAAGAAAATGCAATTCTATCCTACTCATGAAGATGGAAGGAGATGAACCGAATGAGTTTTAATTTTACATATTTTGTTTAGGATTTTGCAAAAATTCATGATCATAAACCTTCATGTAGGAGGTCGAAGACCCTGACCACGGAATAATCTTAACACTATTATATAACACGCCTTGGACTTAAACTCTTCTGCTCTACTTCATTCTCCTAGCAAGCTGAAAAATGACCGGAGCTAATGGTCGTAGATTGGGATCACAGCATCTATCGTATGACGCAATAGTACATTTAGTTACAAGAGTAGGATCAGTTTGAGCCTGTATGTGTATTATCACTAGTTCCACTTGAGAGAAGACGTGGAAGATGCAAGAACGAGGAACCAGTATGACATTTGAAAGCATTTTAAACCTTATCACATCTGCATGTTTTCCTCTTCGTGTTGTCAACAGTGGTCCTGAATTGGTTCTTTGAGTTATTTGCAAGGGGTTTTTTTGGTACCGTTTTCAATCTTTCCAACCGAGGGCAAGGCTCTTGATGTTTCCCGATCCAACTCTGCCCAATGAGCGTAACAGGGCGATACAAGAACATAGAATTCCTATAAGAGACTCTGGACTAGACACATAAATTAAACACTAGCCAAGCTCTAGCAATAAGCGATGGGACTCTAACGGTAACATCCATCATTATCTGTTTGTCGTCCTACGGGACAGGAGTGTGGAACGGACAATCTACTCAGTCACGCTCGGATCTAAGGAGAGGAACGAGAGCGGCGCATGTCCTTCTGCAAAGCATGTGCATACCTCCAGGGGCCAGGCTCCGTCCCTCATGTGCCACGCGCAATCTCTTAATTAAGAGCTTGCGTTCTCGAATGGATTGATTTTGCTAAATTTAAGTCACTCAAATTCGAACCGATCAACACTCCTTCGATGTTACATCTAGCGTTACTCTGTTTGAAGTATGTTCTTGTGTCTTCTAGCAATTTGTACTTGTTTGAAATCGGCCCGCACAGAAATACTCAAAAACCTTCTTTGCCATAAATACTCTGTCAGAGGAGCTAATCTCGCATATCATGGACTTCATCCAGCCCAAAACACAGAGATTACAACCAAGAGGAAGCTTTCAATTCGAAAATTATAACAACTTCCTAAACTTAACTAAAACTTCACATTAGACTCTTTCCTGTATGGCGACGAAATAGTTCTTTCTCATCGTTCTGAGCTGAGAACTGCTTAAATTGATCAGTAGATGAGAGGGAGCAAATTTAGCAGGAACAAATCTAACTTTGCGTGGTCACATGGGCAGCGTCGAGTACAGGACATAACCCAAATTGGAGAATCTCCTGTGGAATAATCTGGTTGTCTTTCATTCCGAGATCCACATGTAAAAATCTCTGAACCGGTGTAAAAACCTCCGATACTACCTTTGTAACCCGCCCAATTATCAGCTCTCCGTATCACAATGTAGAAACCATCCTGCATTTAACACTCTTCCTCGATTTGCACAACGGAAAAGTACTTCAGCTCCACCTCGGGAACAAGACGTGAACCATAAACTCGCCGTCTGCAGTAGAACATGACCTGCGCCATAATGCCCCAGTCCAATTCCATGCCTTCGGATGCGACGAAGTAAATTTCCTCTTGTGGATACGAGCTTGGGAGTTTATTTCCCTATGGGGACGAAGTAGTACCAATTTGCCGTCAATCTGGAAGTGGACGTAAACCCCAAAGTCAAGCTAGTTATGAGAAGGAGGCCTGGGTGTGCAGGTGACCTATAACAGCATGTACAATAAATGGACCATTTGTTTGTGAGGAAGACAAAATGGGGAACGAAAAAATATATTCTCGAAATTACATTTATTATTCCATTTCAAGTACATAGTTCCAGTCTTTATGGTTTGATGTGGCTATGTTATTAGTAATAACACAACATTATGTTATAAGCAATAACTTATTACTTATAAATTCGGTTTTCGTTATCGTGGTTTCCGAAATGAGGATATAAGCAAGTACGAGTCCCTATCGGGGACGCCGGTGAGTGGACATGGCTCCGAGGGACGATAACCACGCCTAACGGTTACCAGGTCGACAGAATTCTGGAAGGCCCGTTGCCACCCGCCGGTACGGGTCGACATAAAATCACGCCGACACTTCCCGTCCGGAGAAGGTACGGACGGCGCGAGGATCTCATCCACGTTTCTGTGGGGGGCTCGGGCATCGGCTCCGTTAGAGGAACGCAACGCATGAACGCGAACGGCTGGATCGCGTTCCACCTCGGAACTCGTCGGGCGTGGAATAACGCGAGGTTCGAGTCCTGTACAGAAACTGGGGCCGTTGGGGGCATCGCGGTCTCTACAGAGCAAGCTAAGCAAGCAACCCTTGGTACAGATCCTTTGGGTTGCCGTACCGCGGTCCTTCGGCCAGGTGGAGCGTCCCCGCTGGCCCAGAGTTTGGCGGCCCTTTGTTATCGGCGTTTCGTGTGATCTTCGTCGATGATATTCTTGGGCTGGGTTCAAAATTATGATCGTTCTTCCACATGGGACGACAAGCCGGAAAGAAATGGTGGAAATGGAGCGGAAGGAGCGGGAGGGAATGTCCTCTGGTGATGTCTTCGAGATTAGACTTACATTAGAGAGGTTTAATTTTAATTTTAACTTAGATCCTTTTAGCTTTTATCTTTCCTCCATTAAAATGATGAACGAAAACTAGATCACCACTTTCCTTCTTGGAGGGAAGGGGAGATCCGGTCAAAAAATTTATCCTTCGGTGTACTGTATTACGCAATCCATAGCGAGCTTTGGCATGATTCGGCGAGCACCGTCCGATGTCGGACGTTTTTCAGTGGAGGAGGCTCGCAAGGATCGGGGACTTGTCCAATTTCCAGCGCATTAGCAATCCGAATAAAACATGACTCGTTTTGTCTAATTCCGGGGACAGAAACTCGATAACCGTCTCGGAAGTGGTCGATCGGTTGGAAACATTTCAGTCCACGAGAAATCCAACCGCTTCACTCATCAGCCAACTGGTAAAGAAAAGTTCAGATCTCTGGCACAGACGAAGAAATGTTCCTCGTCACTCCTTCTTAACTGAAATCATCGACACGGTGTTCGTGGTCGTATATCATTGGGTGGTCACGCGTCTGGTTTTCTCATACACGTAGAAGAAAAGATAAACGGGCCGGGGTTGACATTACGAAGAATGAAAGAACAGACCGATAAAAACGTGGCATTTGCGTACGCGGGTGTCCCTTTAAGCCGGATGCGAATAAACATGATAGTGCCTACCGAGTAGACATTCGGTTTAATATTCGGATGAAATTGCATTTCCGGTTATAACCTTCTACCATTCTCCATCCTTCCGGCTAAAAGGCGGGGAGCCGTACGGGAGCCCTCGTTCGAAGGGGAAGGGTGACACTCAAACTTTCCATTCTGGCGTTCCTGTTCCCGTTCGCACCGGAGGCGTAGATCTTGTGACTCCATCGCGGGGCGGCCACGTGTCCCGGGCCCACACGCCGGGCAGCGGGCGCGGATGTGGATGTGGATGGGGAGGAAGCAAGAGATGGAGTGCCGGATGTGCCATCCATGCTCGCGAGCATTCACAGCTCCCGCACAGCTCGTTGTCCTATTCCGGAGCGGTGAAATGATTCGCGAGATAAGAAGAAGTTGCGGCTCCGAGGGTGTCAGTCCGTAGGCCAGGCCTAGTTCTGTCGGCAAAAGGCCTGGCACGGAAGTCTAAATCGGGCAACAGAGGCGCTGGTTCGAACCCGAGCGAGGGAATACGAGATTCCAAATTTGGTCACACCGCTCGCGTTTCGACCCCGGCCCAGAGCTCGTCCGGCACAAGGCGTCGATGGCCCCCCGGCGCGCTCACTGAACGAAGCACCTGGCGGTTCTTGTAGAAGAGCCTGTGGCAAATGGCAGGACCAGGGGCGGCGGATCTTGCAAGGCGACCTGCCAATCCGACGGCCAAGGGCCTTCGTACGAGGGACGAGAGAGGCCGCGTACGTCGTGGACAGGACGGAGCCGCCTCCTGTCATAAAAGTGATCGACCGTTATTCCCTCCTCCCGAGAGCTCGGGAACCGGCACGTTCCAGTCGGATCCTCATCCAGTCTGCCACCGAGAAAGGCTCCGCGGCCCGTCCCGAGCCTCCGCCGTCGTCGATCGATCTGCGGAATGCCCGTCCTCCCTCGCTACAAGAACGCAAGGGTCCTCGGGCCCTGTGACCCACTGACCGGCCTTGAGCGCCTCAGGCGTCTCTCTCTCTCGGGCGCGGTGCGCGATGAATGATCCGCTCGCGCATCCCGGAGCAGTTCCCAGCCCCGGGCAGCGGGGTGAAAAGCAAGAAGGTAATCCAGGCCCCGGGTTAAATAAGGGCCGAGCTCGAAGAACCGGAATAAGCAATCAGAAATTTCCAGAGGCAGAGGAACGGGAAGAGAAGCGATGAGGTAGTCAGTCAGTCAGTGAGAGAGTGAGTGCGAGCGATGCTCTCGTCTCGTCGTCTTGCGGCGAGTATAAAACGCGCTTTCCGTCAGCCGGATGTCGCCAATCTCGCACAGAGCGTCTTCTTCTCGAGAGCTGGAAGAAAGCCGCGCGTCCTTCTCGATTGCGATTCGATACTGCAGCGTTGCGTTGTCGAGTCGGTGGCGCTCAGGCGTGCAGGCCGAGCGGAGATGAGAGACGAGCCGTGGAATCTGTCGGAGGAGAAGATGCTCGGAAGAAGAAGCGGAGCTCGAGCTTGATTGAGCCCGGGAGTCGGGGAGTGGAGAAGTAGAAGAGGATCAAAGGCTCGAAGCGCAGTGGAGCTGCTGTCTTTGCCTTGCTCCTCGGGGTTGGGTTGGGTTTGGGCGATTGGGGTCGTGGTCGTTGTGGAGACTAGCGCCAGTCGTCGTTGATTCGGTTTGAGTTTGAGTTTGAGTGCGAGTGAGTGAGTGTGAGCGGCGGGCGAGGTGATTTGGGCGGCAATCAGCACGCCGAGACACTGCAGGTAGCCAGTCTGAGGTTAGCCGAGAACGTCCGGATTGCCTCGGGCGCTCTCTCTTGTGCGGGCAATTTTGACCGCGGGTGGAGTTCATCCCGTCCTTCGTTTTCTTTCTTTGTTCTTCCGGCATCTTGGACTTCGTTGAGGCCATCGTTGTTCTTCCTTCGCGCGGGACGCTGCGAGAAATGCCCCTTCTCGACTTTCGTTTGAAGCAGATTTGTGTGCAGTAGGGGAGAGAAGCGATTGCATTGCGTAGATGCGGTAGCGGATTGGGATTGTGTGATCGCCGGACGAGAAGATATAAAAAGCACGGCTGCTGCAGTTTGGAATGGATTTCTGCGAGTGGTGGTTTGAGTGTGCAAGATTGTAAGGTTCCCGCACGCGTGCACAGGAAGAAAGACTGGGTGCTGTTTGTTTTAGAGGGCGATGGGAATTCGTGTGGAGCTACCGAGTATTCGTAGGAGGAAGGCTGTTGGTATGAAGGGAGAAGCGGATAGTTTCGCAGCCGCGACAATTGGCTGGGACGCCGATCTCCGGGCTGTAGATCGGCAATCGCTCGACATAGATATTTCTGAACTTACTCCTCCTCGTATCAAAAATCGTCCTCCCGGTATTCAAACTTCGACGACATTAGCGAATGCTCTTGCGGACAGCCCAGACTCCGGCAAGCATTTAATTTCCCCCTGCTCTTTGGATGGGGGACGTTCCTCTGACCCGGCGTCTCCTCTCTCCTGCTCCACTCAGTCCAACTCTTCTCCGAGTTCGAGCAATCAAGGCTGCGCTGACGCATACCGCCGGCGAATGAAGAAGAGATGCGACAGCCAGGGCTTGAATCCACTGAGCTTTTCATGTAGGGGTAGCCAGCAGCAGGAGCGACCGTCGAGGTGGGATTCCGCGCGTTGGAGTGCAACCTCCGACTTCGGCTCATCCTCGCACGGCAAGAGGAATGCGTGCTACTGCGCTGCAGGGGTGACCGGGGATGTTGCGGCAGTGTGCTGCTGCCCGTTTTCGCTTCTCCATCTCCTCGCTTTGGCCCTCATCAAGCTCCCCACCGTGGCCGTGAGCAAGCTGGTGAGGAAAATCAAGCGCAGAATCGTCATTCGAAGGCGGACCGCTATTCACGAGGACGAGAATGATAGTGTCGTTGCTCCTTCGTCGTACCCACCCTCGAGGTCCAGGTCGTACGAAGAAGGAGAGGCGCAGACCTGGGCGCCTACCTTAGGGTTCGGACACTACGGGGACAGTGAGAGCGGGGAGTACACTCTCGTTTCCCAGGCGTCCTTGCGAGCCGAGATCTTGCCGAAGGAGGCCGCCAGAGTCAAAGTCTGAGCGGGTCCGTGCAAATTGATTGTAGGAATTTGCACAATTGGGAAGGTCTACGCTCCTTCCTGCAATTATTCATCGACATTTTCCAGTCTTGCTCCTCGCAGTTGAACGAGCTAATCCAGCTCGTTCGCTTCATCGATGCTGGAGCGAACTTGAAGTCGTTGCTAGGGGTTGTGAAGCTGCTTTGGGTCGTGAGCAATGGATTTTGATTCGTGGAGCCTAGAGTACAGACGCTGGCCGAGCGGGTCCAAATTCGGAGGGTGTATATAGAAAGGACGTCATGAGAGGATTGTGCAACTCTTGCCTCACTGCGGTGGTGGCGATGGTAGTGATTCCAGGTTGAGCGTTCCGACAGCTTCATTGTTATTTATTCTAGGAGAACGTTCGAATTGTGCTTCGCCTTCCTGGTGTGGAGTGTGCAGAATTGTAAACCTCAAACTCAGTGGTCAACCCGGTTCCAATCATCCCGGCGTGGGAATACAGTCTTCAATTCGCAAGAGAACACGCTTGGCTTTTGTCATGTATAAACAAAGGATTCCCTCTTGATGTCTTCGATGCGCAGCGAATGCCGGACCGGCTGTGTCGATGGTCGTCGCACATCCTCATGTACGGCGACCATGCAGAAGTCGGCATCTGTGGAGGATTGTAGACAGTAGAGTTACCGGAGCTGCGAGGAGAAATCATTTTGGAGTTCTATAGTGAGGAATTGTCACCGAGCCGTGAATCGTGTAGGCAGTCTACATTTTTTGAAAACTATTTTTGATACGAGATTAGGCGATTCTTACAGGGCTTTGTATTTGTAGCGATATATTGTAAGTATGTTCTCAGAAACGGTTCTTGCTCTCAAGAATTGGGCATAGTGTAAACAGCGAGCCAATCAATTAATCAATCAATGGCCATACAATTACCATTACTTCGCTTGTGGTCTGCCCAACAAGCTCATTTCTTGTGAATGTCTGACCATTCTTCCAGCGCTGTCGGCGAGCATGGAAGCCGTGTGCATATGTGGCATCGCCTGCAAGATCTTGCGACCATTTCTGGCTTTCAGTCTATCCCGCGCTCTCTCGAACGCGATCTCTTCTAGCACGAACTCCTGCTCTGCCTTTTCAATTTTGTCCGCCCATTGCGACAACAGTTTGTCTACAGAAAGCTGACCCTCGGGAAGGATCAGCCCGTCAAACTTGTTCTTCTTCTCCGCCGACGGCTGGAATGGCACGATCTCTTTGCCCGTGGTCGATGCGGCGATGCCCTGATTTGACTTGGCTCCCGCCGGCTGCAGAGGCGTCAGCTCTTTGCTGCCTGGAGCAAGCTGGCGATTTCCTGGCTTTAAGGCCTGAGCAGCCAACGGATTCCTCTTGCGCAGGAATTCGTAGGGAGCGGGCTTGGGTGCAGCTTGCTTTTGCGTAGGCAGTGCAGAGGTCGCGCTCTTGTTCGTTTGTTGGGTGTGTTTGAATTCAGGTCTCATCATCTTCGATTTCTGTCTGCGCAGCGCAATTCGACGTTGCGGTGCTCAGAACCCTCGTGCGGGGCCCGAGTTGCGACTATCGCAGGCTCGATCAGATCCGAAAGGGTTCCAGGATTTCGTGAGTTATAACTTCCCGCGAAGAGTGTGCTGCCATACCCCGCAGCCGGTAATAACACTCAGATTCCGCACTCGTTCTCGGTCTCGAGCCGGTTCGACGACACTGAGCAACGAGTTTACCGTTGATCCGGACGAAATCTGCCTTGACGAAGTCCTGCCCGACCCAGTCGCTGACATGTGCTTCCTCCTGCTCTCGGCTCGGCCCTAGTTCTAGTTCCTCGCTTTTTCGGTTGGAGGTGGTTGACCTTGCTTGATTCTGGGCTTGCTGCAACTACGAGTAGGTTTTTGGGTCGATCAATTCATTTTCTCCCACATGTGCTGCTGCTGCCAGCGAGCAACAGCAGGTTGAAGACTCTTCTGCGCCTTCTTCCTCCGTTGCTGCTACTGCCCCCTACGTCTGATATCTTCGTTGCCAGCAGCCTTGGAGAATCTGCTCCACTCTTCTGTTGCCTGCCTGCCTGCCTGCCTGCTTGCCTGCCAGCGACCAGTATGAAAACAATTTGCTCCTGATTTCCGTCTGAGCTTCCTCCACCGCGTGCACATGTTCCTCCTTCCCTTCTAGTACTTACTCTTCTTTCCGGACCTCTTCTCGAGGAGGAGCGAATTGGCCAGAGTTTGCCACGGTTGACTCTGGTTAGTTCAACATCCTGCCTGCAGGTCCTGGATGTTTCGTTTGACCTCTTTGACCGGTAATGGTTTGACCTATTGCTATGCAACTCACCATCCATCATTACATTCATTCATTGCCTTGCTCAGGCATGAAGGTCTTTGTTCCCTCGCTAATCTATGATACCAGTGCTATGATCTAGAACATAGAATTGTAGAGTGGTGAGTGTTTCATCTATCCTCTGTGAAATACTTGCCCATGCCCTAGAGTCCATCAGCTGCCTGTGTCATGGGGATGCTGTAGGACCGTCTAAAGGCCTAGACTTCATACTCCCATGTAATAACCCAAAAGTTTTAATTCGATGTCCCCGAGCAAATATCAAAACGAACACTTAGTTAAGATAAATGGAGACGCATGTAACACTCGGTAACTGCTCAGCATGTTCCCTAAACGTGGAACGAATAGCATCCATGCACCTTTGAGAACCTCGGCTCCACAAGAGGTACGTACATCTAGGGTCCGTTCAAGAGGGAGGGGACCACCGGTGTTGAGATTTCAGCTGCTGCCGAATCATAAGAAATCACCAAGTTGTGCTCGCTAAAGGAGATGCTCTTTCTCCGCTGCTTGTCCCTTGTGGGTTGGAAGACAATCGAGTTGGAGGAGAAAAATCAAACAAGTGTAAGCTTGCGTTGATACTTCTATCCAAAATATGAGTTGTTTAGTTCTAACAAGCCGACGTTTATATTGAATGCTTGAGTGGTGGTAGAGATTTCTTGTGCTTTGGACTCACTCATTCTCTTTTATTCCCCAGTGGTTTTTCCATTTCTTTGTGATTTGTGCAGTTGCGAGTGGGCCCAATAATGCTTGAACTCCGGAATCTGCTCTACCCTGTGCCTGACCTCACAATGCCGGTACATCCCATAAACTATTGTGTCAAATTGGCATACTTCCGCTACCAAGGACTCGATTGGTGATCATTATTCCAATGAGTACATATTGCTTTGAAGGCGAAATCATGAATCTTGGTCTTATTCACGGGGAACTGGTCTCGAGATTTGATTGGCTTCGTGCTCATAATTTAATTTTCCTCATTTTTATTACTTCCTGATCAAGTTTGCATGTCGATGATTTAGTGGTACTAAAGAATGCCAATGAACATCATCGGCATCACGACTCGCATTCCAATTTCTCGTCAACTGCGATCCACACCACATAAATGAACTCCAGTGCACAATGCCACAAATGATGTGCGTCATTGTGACTCCAGCAAAACTCCGATACATACTATATTCGGAAGTCGTCAAATGTAAATGGTATTTGGCTGAATCATTTGCCACTTTGATTGTCAGTACTCTACAAGTTGGGTGAAACTGCTATCACCAACACCCACCCGTCTCCTCCGATGGTCGAGATCGAGATCGAGATCTCCCTACGAGAAGCGATGCGGAAGTAGTTTACTGTAGTTCTAGTAGCGAGTGCAGAATCTGCCATGAGAACAACTCTGACGACACACCATCTCCTTACTTCTTACCAGATGATGATGGCGCAAGTCTCTAGAGATGTCCCCTTCCCTCACTCACACTTCGCCTCTCTGAAGAATCTACCTCGACCAGCGAGCCTCACAGTTCCAGCAAGCTCCATCGATTCCCCACAGCTCGAGCCTGAAGCCTCGAGCCTCAACTCAAGGCCCTGAACTTGTTTGAACAAAACCGCAAGTTGACAATTCGACTCGGCGTCTTGACGTGGCGAATCTGAAAGAGCTTCATTGGCATAGCCCTCTCGAGCTTAGAGGATTGGACGATCCCGAGTCAACTTCCTCCACTATACCGGGTCAAAGCTTATCTGCTGCCCCATGAGCCGAACGACACGAGCCATAGGGCGTGCGGCCTGAGCTTGGAGCAGCTCGATTGGATTCTCCCATCCACAGTACTCGAGTTTGGCCTCTTGGAAAACCCCTCTTGTGCGTGTCCTCGCATTTTGACACCTTCTGCAGAAGCTGCTGCACCCATGCCTGTTCGAAGTTCACTCGCCCAGCAGCTGTGGAGGGTTATTTCTCACTGGTGATCGAAATTCAGTTGGTGTTCAGGTAGTGGCAGGTACTTTCTTACTTACTGCGGTTTCTGCTGAGTTTCGAAATATCCCCCAGGATGCATCGGAGGGGAAGTTGGGAGCTGACAGTAGCTAGCTCTTCACCGTAGACGTGGTACAGTAGGAGGAGGAGGAGGCGTAGGACGACGACGAGGAGGGCAGATCGGAGCCTGATCAGGTGCTGAATGGTTGTGTAGGAGGGTCCCTAGCATAGGACTCGAGTGGCACTCCGGTGCACAGTAATTCGATGCCTCTGATGGTGCAGAAATTCTGATGTCAAACGAAAGCTATAGGACTGACATGTGGTTGATAAAGCTAGATGGGTATCCGCAGAATGAGCCCGTTTAGCCCGAATGCAGAGTAAATTGCTGCATTCGATCTTCAACTCTATCTGATGACATCTTTCAGAAAAAAATGATGGAATTTTCCAGGACGTAAATTATTTTAGTTATTCCTTGATCTCCTGCTCGTTCCTGATCTTATTATAGAGATGACCTCGGTTGTTGCGGCTTATCGCATGTTGGCACTATCGTTCTGCCAAGCTAGGCACTTAGATTAGGACACTAGTACTGAAGATTTTTGATTTGTTCTTACCATTAATGTGTAAACAAGACTCTACGATGGGCTTCCTGTGAAATCAAACGATTAGCTTTCCTACTCTTCTTGCTCTAGAATTTTGGGTACGTTCCACTTTTCTAATTTTATTACATATTTTTTTAGTTTTGTCTGCTATGCAAACAGCTGGTTGTTCTAGAAGCAGTTGTGCAATTATGAAAACTACAGAGAAGCGGAAAAAGAACATATCTCACGACCTCGGATCTCAAAACTCTGATATTCAAAGTTCCCTACCTTAATATAACGGCCATGTTGAGCATGTACCTACTCAGCATTAATCAAACGGTGAAAGTCAGGATACGCATCCTTCGAGGATACATCGATTTATACATCGCCATGAGTTCTGTTTGAGAAAGAATAAGGGGCAATGGACAAGCGTTTACACAGGTTGTTACAACTTCGAGGGCCGAGGCCGGTCGGCGGTTGACTGAAAAGGTTATTTAAGTTTCCAGATCCAAAGAGAGACTTCAGCATATCTCCTAAGACATCATCGCTGTACGCAACAAGTCGTCTTATAAGGCCATTGATTTGGGTCATTTGCTGTAATTTCTCTTAAAGGACTTATTCAATTCTTTCTCGTGGACTTTTCAATAGCTTTTAAAAGCAGTAAGACAAGAAACGATGTTTCATCCTTCGTCTTATGGTTGTGGACTGTTATTTCAAGCTACCACGAAGAAAAAGATGTTGCTCTAATGCACGGGTAGGGAAAGGGGTCGACGTCATCATTGGCGACGATCTTACGAATTCCTCACTTTGTCTGTTCCCACCGTGAAAGGAGAAAGACGACTTCATCATTTATTTGACTGCCCTGTTCTCCTTAGCTTTTCATACGTTGGCTTTATACACACACATGAAGCCATCACTGAGATTTTTCTGATCTCAGTTTCTTTATTTTCTATTGTGGGAAAGTGCTTACTTCAGAATGGGGACAAGATATGGTCAGTGACTACGGAAGTGTCAAACGCGTTGACTCGTGGGAGTCCTCTCTTCCTTGATGCCTGCAATGGTCTGAAAATGAGCCGGAGATCATGTATGACAAGGAGGCTACTGTGGGGTTTTTCTTTTACATGGACCCTTAAAGCACAACAGCGAACCTTTAGAACTGCTTGGCTTTCCAAGAGCATAATCTGCACATGGAGAGACCTCCTCGTCCGTCTCCGTATCTTTGAGGTCATCCACTTGAGGCTGGCTCTTCCAAAGTGTGATATAGTGGGCTCGAACATTTGATGTCTGCGGTCGTCAGTACGAGGAATATGCTGATGTCCATCAACAAGTCACAATGAACTACACAATGGACTGATGAGATTGTACTTGGAGTCACACAAAACAGCGAGACACAAGCTGCAGATGCTCTTTTGGCCAGTGGATTATTTTGCAACCTTTTGCCACTGACTTTGGTCTCTCGGAAGGCAGCACCATTCTTCCTCTTCTTTTCGTGTCAGGCGTCAAACGAAGTAAGCTGCTGTTACTGCTACCTCTTGATAGTGCTCTTGTCATTCCTAGATTTCACATTCTCGAAATTCCTCTTGCTGTTATTGATGCTGCATGGTTCAGATGGATGGCCCGCAGGAAGTCGAAATAATCAACAGTCATGGTCATCTATCTTACTTATAAAGTTGTGGCCCATGCTCTGCGCCTGAATGTACATTTTGGAATAAAATTTTCACCGATGGCTGACCGGCTCGTAGCTTGGATGGAAAGAGGAGGAAGTAGGAAGTAGGAAGGGGAAAAAAAAAAAAGCAAAGGAGAGATTAATGACTTCACTTTCCGATGCATATCATCCAGTCAAAGGTTGAGCTGCTCATCGAGATCAGGACAAATGTGCCAATTTTTGTCTCGCACATACCTTTTGCCAAAAGATTCTTCCGCAGTTAACTTCATAGTCTGATCTGCTGGATGTCGAGCCTCTATCTCCACTTCTAATCATTCGAGAAAACAAGATGTGTTCTTTAGCAAGCATTATAGTGGGAAGAGATGGCCTCTATGTTTCTATATTCGGTTCAGTCAGCTTACTTGCTTACTTGGTTCAGCTCTGCTCAGTCTTGCAGAGCGAGCAGCACAGAGTGCTCCGCACTTTGACGCTCACGTCTCAGGTCAATGTCAATATCCTCTACCATCCACGCGTATTACTTAGCGATCAACTCCACCACAAAATTATCTCTCAAAGACTTTGCATAGTCTTTGAGAGTCTATAAAATATTTTCCATGTACTGATCAACTGGACCACCAAATTATCTCTCCAAAACTTCGCATTGTTTTTGAGAGTCTACGAGTTTTTTTTCTATGAACCATGTGGACAAAGAAAATTTTTGTGTGAAATTCTGAAACTAACCAAAATCTGGGCCAACTCTAGCCACTGTGGTCAGCTTTAGTAGCCACCGGATAGTTTATTCGATTTTTAACATGTTTGATTGAAAA